TATATCTATAAAAACGAACAATCGATTTGTTGCTCGACACATGATTCTCTATTAAACACGAGAGTGGTTTCAACCGATCGGTGATCAAAATGTTCAACAAAAGGCAAAAAAACATAAAAGGAAGGAAGAAAGAGGAGATATCAGAGATTTTGACCCAACCCTCTGAAAGAAAACATATAAATAGAACATGATTACTTGTAGAAAAAAAATAGGGAAACGTACAGAAAAGAATTGGACTAAGCAATAGAGTCGAAGATCTTGGTCAAAGACTTCTCGATTTTCTTTGATCGTTGGTACAATCAGAAAGCGGTAATTCTGCATGAAAAAATAAGCCAAGAAGATAGATAAAATTTTGCTCCAACTCTAAAACAATCATATATTTTGATTGTATGATACTTTTAATTTCTTCGGAATACATAATGAATTTAATATTGCTAGATAGATAAAAATCAAGCGAAGATTAACTCAGATATACCAGGCAAATATTTTAAGTTAATTTTCTCGGAAACAAAGTCCCTTCTTCGTGTAGAATCAACCCTTTGCCGATTATACCACCAACTACAAAATACCTTATATGAAATGAGAACCTCTTCTCCGTGAAAGTATTAAATAGAACGTAGAAATAATAACGATATTCCTCGATTCGCGTAATACAACTGTACAGTGCTATTGTGTATTTGTTAAAATTGTTCTAAGATACCTATTTTCACTAAGGATCCGCGATACTAACAACTTCTCCGTGAAACTAAATGAACAATTCTGCGGCATAAGGTATTATTCACGAAATTACATGTCATTTGGATTATTAAAGTGCTGAAAATAAAACTATAGTCCCCACACTACTAACGTTTCCGCTTATGTAACTAATCGATTACAACCCATCTTTGGCTCTTCAGCAATTCTTTCGCCTTTTTCTTCCAAGGTTACCTAGCAACACCTAATTCGCGGTTACGGGTTTAAAAAGGGTAGTTATCTGTGATGAAACGTGTCAAAAATATATATATGCTATTTCGTCGTTCGTGTGATTTAACACCTACGCAGAAATAGTATCGAAAAGATATCGAGGTAAGAGATTGTAGCAAGAACCTCGAGTATTTACAATTTCGAGAAGTTTCTGAAACCACTGACATCTACCACACGACAAACGTAGTAATCTCGAGAATTGAATCAATGGGGTGAATTTATCTGTTGCGTCCTTAGTGAATGGAAACTATTAAGATATTAAATATTATAAATTCGAAAGCTTTTGAAGAGAACCAAGAACATGCGTACGTAACCAGGTACGACAAATGAAAAGATTATCTAGCATACTGGAACCGAAATTCTGGATCGATATGACATATATACAGAATCCCGTTTCCCTTTTCAAACTCTTGCTCGTATACAATGCAAGAATTATTACGCTTGTACTTTACGCACATCGATATTACATGACAAACCCTTGCTAGTATACAATGCAAGAATTATTACTCTCGTACTTTACGCACATCGATATTACACGACAAACTCTTGTTCGTATACGATGCAAGAATTATTACGCTCGTACTTTACGCACATCGATATTACACGACAAACATCCAATCATTATATGAATTATGGATTTATACCATCGATGATCTTCACAATAAAATATGCAGTGAATGTTCGCTCGTTTCGCACGATTTGTATCTCAAATCAACTAAAATCCTTTGGATTTAAAAGCAAATTTTTTTGCAAAATAGTCGAATTTTTATACGTAGATACGCATATATGTATAACGCAATGTAATACAATTTAGGTATACTTTATATAGCACTTATTTTATACGTTTCATTCTACCGATACCGTTTCTAAACTAAGCGTTATCAACGAATTTCTTTCATTCAGAAAAAAAAAGTTTCCACGAATATCAACCAAAGACCATTTCCTCGTTCGGATATACGACGGTCGATATAATAATCGACAGAAACGAAGAACAACGATTTTTCAGCTAATCTTATCCAAGTCTGAACACCATTTAGCGAAACTTGATCTTTTACTATATTAGAAATAGATATCTCACTTCGCAATATACAGGGCTGTTGCATAAACAAATCGTTAAAATTTCCGGAGAACTCGGAACAGCCAGAGGGAAGTTTTCATTCGTTAAACGCGATTAATCGGTTCCAACAAATTTCCTCTGGATCCGTGAAAATATATTACGGATGGCTTTCATGGAAAGCATGTCTCTACGGCGGATATAAAAAATAGAGACGAGCGCGACGATCTCGATCGGACACATTTTTGTATGGAGGAGGATGAGAGTAGCTTTGTGCTAAACCGAAACGTGTATTATAATAAATCTGTGAAAAGCCGCACTGATCGAATTCCACTTTTTGTTAATTTATATAATTTTACTAGATAAATTCATGATTAATGTTCAATTCTTAAATTCATTTATCACAAGAACATGACACAAATAATAGTAAACTTTAAAGCAAATCTTAGAAACAGTGTTTATAACATCACTTTTCTATATTTTCAACTTACAGAGTTGATCAATGCGGCTTCTTCTGACCCGCTCATATGTATACAACTTGCTCGTGCTATTAGTTCTCAATATCTTTTTTTTTTCTTTTTCTCTTTTCCTCTGTATTTTTCCTAAATAATAGATTTTTGATAGCAAAATAGGGAATGACAACGTTTAACCAATTTTTATACGCAATACACTGATGATAATGAATTTATATTCAATATTAAATTCAATTTTAAAATTCAATTTTAGAATGAGAATTTCCACTTTTCTGTCCTTGTAACTACAGTAGCTCACAATAATATTTGAACACTTATGGAAACTTTTTATGAATATATTGTATGTTTTATAAAAAACATTTTGAAATTTTATTAACATTGTAATGAGACACGATTATTGCGGTTATTAACAAGACGCAATAATTAGTGAGACTATCTTCAGTACTAACTGTATGTTTAAAATCATGATTCATGCTGCGTAGTAATTTTTTACTAAGTGTTATGTTTGTAAGAAATGTCTTGTTACTTTTATATATAGCTTTGGATTGATCTGGTTTTCAAATTTTACAAGTGCAATCACGAACTGGTGTCACTACAATGATAATGAAATTTTAAAAAGTTTCGTATATCGCACATAATATATTCATAAAAATACTACTGTACGTTCTTTGTGTTAGGGCTACACATACCTATTACGTAAAAACCACGTCAGATTAAAGAAATTTGTTCATTATATTGCCAATAAAATGTAGTAAAATTTTGATCTTCGCTATTCTCTTTCTCCAGAAAGTTTCATATCATTTATAAATAAAGATTCTTGGAACTAATAACGTGAAAATCCTTTAATAGGACTAATCGAAACACAAGGCAGTCGCCGTATTAAAGAAGTATTTAAAGTGCTTAAATTATCGGTGAATGGCTACGAATCGATTCTTCCGTTTCATCTGAATTTCATCGATCGTAATAAAAAGCTAGAACACTTCTCGTATGCACTACACGGACAACGTACAACGCATTCTCGTTCGACTCGACGTCGATGTAAGGCAGTCGGAACAGAAATCGCTATATGTGTTTCATTTTTTTTTCTCTTTTTTTCTCGTTTTGATTTTACTTTAGATATCTATGTGTACGTATATATATATTTACATATACAGGGTGCATCACAATATGTGGAACCGACTGCAGAAGTGAACAGGGGGCACAAAAACAATGAAAAAAGTTCACATATGGACATCAGTCCGATCTGGCTTTCTTTCGAATTTATAACCACTTTAACATTTCAATAACCCGCAACTGTTCAATGAAATGACTACTTTCGTCGTGTCAAAGAATTTCGCAATTTTCCAAAAATTCCACGTGTATGTTGAATAATACAGATCGAGGATGGCCATTGAGTATGGACCATCTTCTATGAAGATAGGCAGTTATGGATTTAAAACGAAAAATGGCTATAAATTTGAAACAAGGTCAGATAAAACATATGTTGATATGAACCTTTCTCATTGTTTTTATACCTTCTGTCCACTCTTGAAGTAGGTCCCATATGATATACTTTGTATATAGAAGTTTTTTTCTTATTTTAACACTTAGCCAACCGAATAGGGAAATCTCCCCTCTGTGAAGAACATCGTTGCGTGACCGAACGGAGAGATCTCCCTTTAGCAACGTGTTTTCTGTTTTTTTTTTTTTTTTTTTTTTTTTTTTTTTTTTTTTTTTTTTTTTTTTTTTTTTTTTTTTTTTTTTTTTTTTTTTTTTTTTTTTTTTTTTTTTTTTTTTTTTTTTTTTTTTTTTTTTTTTTTTTTTTTTTTTTTTTTTTTTTTTTTTTTTTTTTTTTTTTTTTTTTTTTTTTTTTTTTTTTTTTTTTTTTTTTTTTTTTTTTTTTTTTTTTTTTTTTTTTTTTTTTTTTTTTTTTTTTTTTTTTTTTTTTTTTTTTTTTTTTTTTTTTTTTTTTTTTTTTTTTTTTTTTTTTTTTTTTTTTTTTTTTTTTTTTTTTTTTTTTTTTTTTTTTTTTTTTTTTTTTTTTTTTTTTTTTTTTTTTTTTTTTTTTTTTTTTTTTTTTTTTTTTTTTTTTTTTTTTTTTTTTTTTTTTTTTTTTTTTTTTTTTTTTTTTTTTTTTTTTTTTTTTTTTTTGTTATTATCAGTTATTATTGGAATTGTTCCCAATTAATTGCGCCACTTTTTCTACTTTTATAAAGTACGGTATATAATAAAATACACCAATTTAGTGGTGTTAAAGTTAATTAACAAGTTACACTATCAATTACAACTAAATAAAGTTATAATCAAACGATACTACGCTGCAAAAAAATATTGAAATGCATTATAAATCTTTAATTTCACGCTCAACTCGTGTTATCTTTAATGTTTTTAATTTTATCTATATTTTTTTATACTTTTAATATATACTTTTAATTTAATATTTTATATAAACAATATGTGAAATAAATAATTTTTAAATAAATCTTTACCGCGAAATATAATTAACCATTTAAATAACTTTTAGACTTCTGTGTTTTTTAAGTAGTGAATATTAGTCCTCGATACTTGGAAAAATGCGCGGTGGACAGCGTATAGGTTGGCTTATCCGAACGCGATGGAAACGTACAGCTCGCTGCGGCGCGCGCGGTTGGCTGAGTGTTAAATGTGTTCGTGTGTGTGTTCGTGTTCGTGTGTGTTCGTGTTCGTGTGTGTTTGTGTTCGTGTGTGTTCGTGTTCGTGTGTGTGTGTTATTTCCAATTGTTTATTTGTTCCACAAATTCAACTCGAATATTAGCGGACGTAAATCCAATGATTACAGCCTTGCCCTTGTTCTTATCATAGGAAATTTCATCGAGTGCCTCTAGAACGTTCTTTCATGTTGATTCTTTCCTAACACGGTTACTAAATCAACATATATGTACTACTGCTATTTCTATTTGTTCGATAATTCCTCTTTTTTTTTTAGAAAATATTTTCAAAAATATCAAATCTGACAAGATGCCAGACACTTGTCGTTCCATGAAAACGGAGCTACAGCTTGCTCCACTCGTGAAAAGTGATTATATAACACGTGCTTCCTAAGATAATTGTTCTTCGATAAAACGAGCATGCTAACTTGATTAGAATGAAAATCGGAAACGCGAATTGTTCCCGGTTTATACTCCTGCTAATCAACTCCAGTTACTTGCATCAGGAGTATGTAAAGGGCAAGGCTGGCCCTAGGTACATCCATGCAATCCTCTACTCATCTGCGTTTTTTTTTCTTCGACCTATTGCCTTTCTTGGACGTGGCGCAAACTAAGGTATTCGTCGCGCTCCTTTCAGCTGTCTCACGACCCGAATACTCTCCTTCGACGTTCGTGAGCACCACATTTGGATTCAACTCGTCCGAAGAAGTCGAACGTTCAGGCACGATCTCCTGCTCTGAATCGCTCCTCTTCTCTGGCTCGGTATCTCTTTCAGGTTCCGAGGAATCTTCTTTCGCAAATGTTGCACCTACCAACGGTCCATCGACATTCCACTTGTTTGAATCGCTTGGAACTTTTTCATCGATCTCGCTTACAGCTTCTAATTTGGAAACTTTCTCGGATGAGATGCTTTCACTTGCAGGTGAGTTTGTCTCGTGCTCATTTTTAATTTCCGACAAATTGGTCGGTAGATCCAACTTTTTGTGAATTTTCTGTTCACCAATTTTCTTTCTCGTAGACTCGCTTTCTGTGGTGGAAACAGATCTTTTTTTAACGATGAAACTCCCAGATCCTTCTGTTGCATGTACAAATGATTCTTCCACGGTTGTTTCCTTAACAGCTTCTTTCAATTGATTCACCATCGTCGAGGATGAATCAGTCAAAGATTCCTCTTTTCGACAAATTTTCCTTTCTTCATTGCTCGCGTCTTCCGCTATTAGATCGAGGTCAGATTCCTTCTTTTTCTCATTCTCAGCAGAGGAAGTGTTTTTCTTTTTGACGATAGAGCTCCAGGAAATTTCCTCTTCGGGATATAATTCCAAGTTACCCTCTCGAACTTTGTCTACCATCTGAGAACTCGAACTCTTTTTGTCTAAATTCTTCCTCAACGAAGACTCGTGTATCTTCTTCTTCAAAGACTCTATTTTCTCCAAGATAGGCGTGCACGACGAGACTTCGATAGGATTGAACGATCCGGTTTTCAGCTTATCATCTTCGACTTTATCTTCTCTTCGCGTTTCTGACTCAGCCACGGGAGAACCATTTTTCTTCTTTACTACAGCGCTCCAAGAAAATTCAGACAACGGCTCTTGCGAGCTTAATTCCTTTGAAACATCTTCGACAGGTTTTACAGGCTCGATGGAAGCTTCGGAAATTTGTACGTTGCTTTCGTTGGTGGCTTTTTTAATCTTCCGATACTTCTTCGCACGAGTCCCGCAGACCTCGGGTCCAGCGAGGATCTTACATTCAGAAACGGATGTAGTATCGATTAGTACTTTCATCTCAGCTTTCTGCATCGCGTCGATGTCGATTATTTCGATTCCTGCTTGCGATCGTTTAGATGCGACATTTGAAGGAGATGTTTTAGCGGAACGAACCTTAGTTTTTCTTAGTGGACTAACATTTTCAGTAGCCGGGATATCTTTTGTGTTATCAGATTCTTCCAATTCCTCTTTTCTTTCTGTACTCTTATTCTTCCGACTATCACCCGGTTTAAAGATTACAGTCACATCAGCATCCGACGTGTCGCTTTCGATCACCACGATATCCTTTGTCTTCTTAGCATTCTTAGATGCCAACGCCGATTCTGCTGTAATCTCCTGAGATCTCCTCGTGCTTCTTTCACACGCATCCTCAGGTCTTTCAGATGGTATATCATAGACGTCCGAATGGTGTACGTGTACCATATCGTCGTCAGACGATGAAGATTTAATCCTTGTCGAGGACGATTCACTATCGCTGGCTTTACTAATTTCAAATTTCGAATATTCTTTGCAAATTTTGTCAGATGTTTCTACTAGTTCAGAAGCATGTATGTATTCTATATCGTCATCAGATATCGTATTCTTGCTGTTCTTCCTCTGCATAATAGGTGAAGAACCTGCGCAACTTATCACGTCCACGCATTTATCGCTGTCGATGCATTCAGCCTGCTGTAATTGAGTGATCTCGGAGCTTTGGATATGTTCAATGTCTTCGTCGGACTGAATCGAAGTACCATTGTTGGAACAAGGTGTATCTATGATGTGATATTCACTGGAACTGAATTCGTCGTTCGAGTCCGATGTCGATGACTTATATTTATCGGTTCCTTTAGTCAATACATCCGCACTTACAGTCGGCTTGAAATCTTCCTTCTTATCGGTTTCTTCGATTACAACATCCATTTCCATGGTCGGTTCTACCTGCTTCAACGAACCTTTGCTTTCTGCAAGAACTTCAACTTTTTCTTTGTAATTCTGAGCCGTGGAAGACTTTGATTTGTTTTTACATTTCCCAATTACAGTTTCTTTCAAATACTCTCTGCTTTTACTTTCAGAATTTTTACTGTCCGTATCTTCGATCACGCTTTTTCCGCATCCTTCCTTCTGGATGCAATCATTCCTAGGATCGTCGCAAGTAATGTCTTCAATAATGATGCTATCTCCGTGTTCTTTTAGAATATACTTCCTAGTCTCGGTTCGTTTACTAGGACATACAGAGGACCCGATCTTCTCCGACTTCTTCGCAACCTTTTCAAACTCGCAAATTTTTTTACTCTCAGTTTTACAATGCACCGACGTATTCTTTTTTTCATGAGCTACCTTATTTTCCATCAAAACTACATTATCCTCATCATAGTTGACTACGTATTGTGCCTCGGATACGTTCCTCTCGTGAGCCCCTCTGTCTTCCCTTTTATCAACTTTCCTGCACCAAGCAGCTTCCTTTGCCTGGGTCATAGGACTGCTGGGGATTTCACCCTGTTCTACGCACAGACTCAGGCTGGTCGGTACATCGCGGAAGGCTTCTTCTTTCTCGAAGTCAATAGTAGAGTTCCCAGGGTTCGTAATAGAAGCAATCTCGACGCACAACGCTTTTCTCTCCTTCACCTCACAGATGTTCTCGTCCGGCACGCTGTCGATCGCAGGCTCGCCAGCTGAGCGCATTTCCGCGCAGATCTCGGTGAGATCGCGCAGAGTTTGACTCTCCGGCTCGAAATCGCCGAGAGAAGCCGGACCTTCTTCGGCGCACACGCTCCTAGGTGGTTCCGGCACGTGGCTCTCCTCTGCGAAATCGAACTCCTGACTAGAGTTAATGTCCTCCTCATCGGCCGATACAGTAATCACGGTGCCCAGAGGGTTGACGACTTTAGTTACCGGTTGACCCACCCTCTCAAATACCGATCGCCTCCCTAGTAACAGAAAAAGCCGTTGGCAGGTATCAATATCGAGTCACAATATCTCCCTTGTTTGTTTTTCTGTTTGGCCTTTTTTATGAGATGCATCGCCTGAGGTATAATGAGGTATTACTGTTCTCGATACGGCTCGGCAATGGAGAGAGATTTTAAGTGACATTACCGAATACTAATTCAAATGTTGCATCATGAGGAAATACAGAGTTACGAGAACGGGGTACGTGAAAGATAAAGAGAGAAAGAGAGAAAATAAAAGAGTAATTAATCTTGACTTCTAATGTAAAGCTGATATATATATACTCGATCCGAGTCGTCACACTGCACACCACAAAAACACAAACTTCACGTCACAATATACGTGTCGAGATCGAATGATACATTATAAAGAGAACAAGTTAGAACAGTTGCTTTCAACCTATGTAATTTCTTTGGTGTTCATCGGTACTTCAAAAAGAAAAAGATTCTTATAGGATTAGTAACTGCGACTGCCCGCAGCTATTCGCAACTATTTACCTCGACTTAAAGGGTAGACGTTGATAAAATGTATCGTTGTTAGTGATTAGATGTAGTATCGATAAAGGGGAGGGGAGGGGGGAAACGGAGATACCTGCCTCTGGCCAGTTCTGTATCCACACAAACTTACAATCTAACAATCATCCGTCACCAAATGCAGAAAGCACGAGTATCGTATCCGTATTTAAAAGTACGTGCTTAGAAAAATTATCAAATACTCCCACAAATTCAAGTTACAAGTTTCTAGAATAAAGTAAAACGTGATCTATATTTTGCGTTTTACAATTTTTCCCATCAAGACGTAATTGAAATCAGTGATGATCGTTTAAACAGATGAAATTTATTTAGTCACGTTGGAATTAACTTTACTGCATTTAGCAGGAAGATCTTCACGATTGTAAGAACCGTAAATTCAAGAATCTATTAAAATCGCGTATTTGAGGCACTCAGAAATATAAGTTTCCAAATATGCAAATCATATAAAATGCTTTCGTTCTTCTTACTAATCACAACAATGTATAGAAATTTTACGAAATATCGGCAATTGGGATATATCAGGATTCGTGATCTTCTACTTCAAAGCAAAGCATCGCAAGTTCCATGTAATGATTACTTACCTGGAGCACGGTGTGGTGCGATCGATGTTTCTAGCATAGCTTCGGCCAAATCTTCTCTCAATTGATTTTCACCACCGCCAACACCAGCATTTTCACTATCTAAGGGATCACCATACGCTTCCATAAATCTTGGAGACTGCTCATAACTGCCTAAACAATAAAAGAAATCCACATGAACATGCAGTACAAATATTAAATGAATTGAATACAAATTTAATCTTAACAACAAAAATAAATATGCTAATATTTAATAAATAATATAAACTTACTTCCTGATCCATCAATGACCACAGGTACTAATGATCTGGATGCAGCATGCGGCATATTGACTGGATTTGATCTCGCAGGACGAGATCCACCGGTTACTCCAATTTCAACAGCCTCTGCTTCGACAAGATTCACAGTAGCTCTACATTAATAAAATTTTATTGTAATGATGTTACAATCTTAAAAACAATGTTACATATGTTACAACTCTAGAAAACTAACCCACTAGTTGCATTATAGGTTTTAAAAACAAACTGAGGTCCCATCCAAAGTCGCCTGTGTGGACCAGCATGTGTTACAATTTCTACTTGACTTAACCAACGATCCTCCGCTAAATCGCCATCTTGACTGTCTTTCGGTATAATATTGACATTTAGTAAAGGGCTAGACGTTGGCAAAGGTGGTACAATCTCTAAAGAATTCGGAGATCTTAGAAGAGGCCATTGACCTTTGGCTTCGACCTCTAATTCTATCATCGTATCGTCACATACTTTTTCTTTTGGTATACCTAAAATGTGTCATTAAATAGTACTTATATATTATAATAAATATATATTGATATTAATCCTGACTTAAATTAATATTTTATTCACCTGCAGCTGGTTTGGGTTCTAAATCATATTGTATCATATTTCCGTGACACGCCATAATAAACAAAGAATCAACTGCTCTCTTCATAACTTTTGCAGTAGATTCCCTTTGCGCATACATCCAAGCTCTTGGAGGTGCAAAACAAGCACATATTTTTAATGGTAATGTTCCACTATCGTCCGAATGCAATCGTTGTCGTTGCTGTGGCCTGCTATATAATATACGACAAATAAATTTACCCAATAATAGTAAATTCCGTAGATAATTAATAATTACCTTTGTTGAATTTGACTGTTTATATGACTTAATGAAGATGGTTGTCGTATCTGTGCCAGAGGATGTAGTACAGTTGGATGAGGATACGGAGGGAGTCTTGGATTAGAATATGGATACACTGATAAAGGCAACTCTGTATGAGATACAGGAGAATGAGATCTGGTGCCGTCGTCCATTAAACCTGCACTTCTATGAAATCTTGAAAGTCTATTTACAACATGAGGTGTGGAATGAGTTCGTATTCCTACTGGTCCACCATAAGGTGCAACAGGAAACACATGAGTAGTGCCCCGCACAGTTGATATCGCAGCCCATCGAGTATCACTCGAAAAAGTCATATCCTATTATAATAAAACACGAATCTTTAAAATACATAAAGTCTTAAAAGCGCAGACATTAAGATTTGATTTAAAGAGATATGTACCTGCACTTTCGCAGTAGTATCTCCACGATGTAGAATATACAAATGATGTACTGCTGCCAAAGTGGGACCACCTGGATGTGGCTGAATTCTAAATACATGAAAATCATGCCCCCTTTTGTCAGCGGTCATTAGCAATGCACCACTTAAATCAAAAGTCATAGCAACGATTGCATCACTATGGGCAGTAAAATGGGCAACGACAGTCTCTATATTCGCATCGTCTAATTCTTTCTCCTCTTTTGCTGCTTGGAGATCTAATATCGTAATCACTCCTGGTTGAGTTACGTCACTGCTGGTATTATTAATGACTACTGGTGACACTGAATTGCCAGTTAAACTGGATGCAACTGTTTCCCCCAAACCACGCAATCCTTTCCCTAAAGATTTTGCCGCGTATAGAACAGTTGCTGTATAACTTTGAACTCCTTCACTTTCGCAACCACCGCTACTTCTTTTTGCTGGTAGTAACTTTTTTTCACTAAAAATATTTTCTATTATAACAAAACGTAATTTGCTTTAAATAACTGCTAAGATTTTATAATCGTGGGGATTTTTACCTGTAAGCAAGCCATCTTGTGCCTAAAGTAACAGGATTTGGATTTGGACCAGGACTGGCATAGCAAGTAGTAACTGTTAATACATCTTCCAATGTTCGAGCATCGAACACCGCGATCTTTTCTAAAAATGTTACTACTACGGATCGTTTATTTACCAATATGTCACAAACAGGATTTTTAAATTTTATGCTTTTAGCTTGTTCCCCAGTTTTTAATGAAATGAAACTAATGTTGCAAAATTGTGGTCCAGGTCCAGCTGAATCACATATTGCTACCATTGGCCGTTTCAATTCAAACAAATCAACATGTTCATCATCAGTCTTTGGATTTGGTAAAATTCTCAGAGTACGAACAACACCTTGTCGCCATGATAACACTTCAGTTCCTTCTCCGGTTGCTGCTATCAACCATACCTATATTAAATAATATTTGTTACTTTGACTTTACAATATCACTTTTAAAACAAAATTATAATATAGGATACAATATTATATTCTATAATATTTATGAGTCTTCTAAACAAAGTTTAAAGCATAAATGCTCAACTTAAATATATGAATTCTTTTATATGATCAAACTTCAAATATCATATTATTATCTCTGCAAACTACATGTACCTTGTTATTTTGATAATGAATGTGCTTGTTTACATATTATGCCTCCTAGATAAAATAAGATTCAAGTCATTCATAAACACAGACACAGTTTTAAAGCTACTACACAAGAACAGTGTTCTATAATTAGAAACTTGATAAATCTATAAAGACCCCTCATGCTCAGTATCTAATATGTACACTTAACTAAAATCATATTTCAATTGATACATATTCATATATGTTCTTTGAAGAATATTTCCTACTTTAAGACTGTCTAAATTGCGTATAACCTTTAAAAAACATCAAAGACATTGCAAAAAATTATTTTAATACACAATATTTTGCACAAGTAATGTAAATACTCAAAGGACAAGTGAACAAGATCAAACCTGAACTCCAGTTGTATAGCCAAGTACCAATAATAAAGGTGGTGTATTAGAGCCTTCATTGTAGTCTGGATACAGGGTAGGATCATTAATGTCTGCATACTCAAACCTTGCCCATGATATAGACTCTTTGTTCTCAGAATTTGGTGTGCCAGTATAAGCCTATATTTAAACAATGTAATATATATCTTAATAAAAGATCATCAACAGAATATTTTAATGTACCAACCTGTGGAACAATATCATTAATTATTCCTGCAACACTATCTATAATTGAACGATCAACTATTGGCTGAGGTGATACAACTTGTACTCCTTTATGCACACCACGCCTTGGAGAGTCTGCAGACATTTTTTCTTTCCCAAACTGAATATTTTTACCTAACAATAAATACATATAAAGTAATATTAACTACATATTACTGCATCAAAGAATAATTACATAATCATTTATAATATTTAATAAGTCATGAAGAAAAGAAAATTATATTAATATCATTATGGATGAATATATGGAAAGAACATTGTACATTTATTTTTATTATATTTATTATTATAAAAATATAATGATCAAACAATTTTTAATAATTTCCACAAACAATAAATAAACTGTAATCTGAATAAACTCGATACTGTGTTGTTAAATCTTCTCATTAAAAATTTATTTAAAGTTAACAAAAATCACTATATAACAAGGTCATATTTCAATTATAAATATTTCTGAAGAAACATAATTTAAATTTATGATACATTACGTACATTGTATTAATATAAAACAGAAAAACTTGTAAATTTAAAGACCAAAATATCACATTATATAAACCTAAAACAAGTATTTAAATTAAAAAGTATAGTAATGTACAAAAAATATAGATTAAGAATCTGTATACATTACATATTCATAATTTATTTGCATAAATATCAAATATATGCAACACACATTTCTATTAATAATAATATGAGATATAACAGATAAAAATTAAGCGAAACGACGATATAAATAATTAATCAAAGATATTGTTATTATTTGTATAAGGAAATTTACGAAATATTATATCTGTATATTTGATAATATAAAAATGAGTAACAGAAAAGTAGTGGGAGAATCTATTTTACTTATTAAAGAATATTACACAATCCAACTACAGCTGTTCGTCGTGTACTCTCAGGGACGATTAGTAAAAAAAAAACACAAATGTCAAAAGACGATGAAACGAAAACTTTCATGATCTCTGTTGCAATAATACGAATATATTAAATTTGAATAAAATAAATGAATACTGACATTAAAATAACGACCCTGACATTTCGTCGAACAAAGGGGTAGAAGGCAGTTTCTCACAACAAAGCTATCTCTCTTTTCCCGACCGCCGTTATTATTTATCTCACAGCAAATTTTTTCCGTTTCGATCGTTTTTGGATTAACAGCAAATAGAATTTCCGATTTACCTCGCCATAAAATTGTATTTTCATACTGGGAAGCTCGCCATCTCTGAGACGACCTTCTACTGCGTCATTCTGTAAGTGACTGACACAACACAACCAGAAAACGATAGTGATGTCACCCCGCCCGCGAAACGTTAATCTTTTTGTTCGAAATATTCAAGCGCGTCGATGGTGTTCCTTATTGCAAGAGATCGTCAGATCCGCTCTCCGTTTTGACGCGCCGATGAGGTTCTCCCGAAAAGTCGTTCGTTAGAAAGTATCACGTATCATAACTACTGCAACGGTCAGATTCGTTGAAAATACGAAAACAATAATCAGCTGATTCAGATAAGGAAATGGTAGGAAAGGAGGGGAGAATAAGAGAAAAGTGAACTCTAATACTCGTATCTAAAATACATCTAGATGGCGTAATTGATGTTCAAATTTCATTTCATCTGTATTGTTAACGGTAAATGTGTATGCAAAATATGTGAATAGATGATTGCGTGTTAATCATATCTTTTGTTTTAATGGAAAAACTATTTAAACTAAAACTACATAGCTCTACATTGATTATAAACAACAGAATTTTTCATAACATCTTTCTCAATTCTAGAATGCAAGAAAAAATGTAAGTTATGAAGATTAACTTAAGAATGTTGAAAAAATTAAAAGGACTATTCTAATAAATAAATTAAATATACATTAATGTAAAACGTAAATAATTTTATTTATTATTATAGTGGTAACACTGCACAAGTTTGTATTGTACAACCTGAAATGTTATGCTGCTAAAATATCTGAATATTATAAAATGAAATTATCATCTTTATCACGTTTTATTATTATGTTTTAAAGTGCTGATTAAATATTTAATATAACACAACAAGATGCCATGTTAGTGAGGAATATAATATAAAGTTATATATTTTGTGTAACATAAGCTACCATTGAAAGATATTATGAATATATACATATGTATGTATATTATACAAATCGATGCATTATTTTCTACGCGGAGACTGATGCATTCATTAGTGTTTTATCATAGAAATTACTTTACAAGAACGGTGTTTTTATAAAATTCCATCACTTGATGCTAACGCCACCTAGGAGTACAATACTATTTAAATTGAATCGGTATGTCCACAATAACATACATAATAATTCATAACAGTTTTTATTTAAGGAGTTACAAAAACAAATTTAAACTTCATATTTAATCAAGTCTATAATTTTCAAAAAAATGAATAAAAATTTTTTTTGTATACATTTTATTTTATTCTATATTATTGTATTTATTTTATATTATTGTATTCTTAAGAGATATCACTAATTTTAACTGAGCTGTTGAAGTAATTACTTCAAGAAAAACTCTACACCTTTTCTTTTGTATATCCGTGACCTGGAGGTCGCTGTTATGAAGAGAATAGAATTTAGTAAAAAAAATAATTCGAAATAAGGAGAGGTCTATATTGTTGTGCCCTTGAATATAAATTTTGTTTTGGCTTACAAGGTCTAGAAACAGAAGAGCTATAAGTAGATTTCTGTTGCTGTTTCTTGTAGCCTTCAGCTAGAGCTACAAGGTTAACTTTTTGCTAATGTCCATTTTGCTATAAATATATGCTATCATAGCTTCTTCTGTTGTATTGTAACACTGTAAGAGTGAGGATCTGGATCAGCATACACTATACCTGTACTTATACCTATACTTATTTCAATATATTTTCTATTATAAATTCATCCACTCGTTCCTCTATCAGACAACCTCAACACGAGCAATTTTAGCATGTCTATATTGCGTGTTACTTCATAATTATGTCGTTATCTAGCAAACAGAAGTAAAACTTATAGACACGAACATTTTACACGCTATATAATTATGTGACGAAACATAAATTTAAGAGGGAAAAAGATATAAATGTATATAATTTTTAATGGAACATATTTTATTTTTCACTGATTATGTAGATGAATTTAGGAAGCAAAAATTTCAGATACGTATTCTCTTTTTTCAAAAATTATTAAACGTAAAAATTATAAGCAATTAAAAATTAAACAATCCGAACGTTTCGGATCATGTACCGAATATACCCGAAGAACATCGTGACGTCACAAGTGTGCGACGGCGCTACACAACTCGCTTTCTTAATTCGCTATACAATACCGCACTGGCGCGCGTACACATTTCAACGTCGCTCAAATATCAGCAAAGTTTTAATTTATTTACTTTGATTCTTGATTTATTAAGTAAATATATGTAACGAAAACATGACCTAATTTTTTCTAGTAATTTAAAGTTTTGTTTTCAGTAGTATTTTTAACCAAAAAGAATGCAATAACCGGAATTAAAATATACATTTCTTAAAATAAAATATAAAGTCAAATAGAGAAAGATTTTTCCACAAGAAAATTTCTTCACGAAAAGGAAAGGAAAGTGAATTTCTACTAACATAAAATAATACGGAAGTAATACATTACACGCGGTCTCGCTATCCATCATTCAAATAGAAAAGAAAAAGAATAGCTTTCCTGCTGTCTCATGATCGATTTAATATGTACAATGATTAAATTTATATCTTTTGACAGGAGCTTCATAATGTAGTAGGATTATCGTGCAACTATTCATGCAGCTCGATAAATCGTGCTACCTTATGAACCATAGTACCGATACACGCAGTTATAATTGCAGTATTTAGAGCAACATTAATATTTCATGTCGGTAGGAAAACGTAGGAAATTCTTACCGCATTATCCTTAGGCTACTAGTATACTGTAATTATCTGTGCGTGTATTTGTGCAGCGAGAAGCCAACTTAATCGGTAGAGTTTGCGTGTTCTCCATGTCACCGATGTCCCCGTGCAATAAATCGGAAAGGAATGGTCCTCCTCCTCCGAGATATTCTGTTACTACAGTTCCTCCCTGCACTTCGTTCGAGACAGATCAAAGGAATAATAACTTAAATCCAGTGTTATTAAGAAACAAAATATCTTGATCTTAAAAAAAGTTTAATATACTTCAAACATGATGCGACGAAAAAGGGTACTTTGCTCTTTACCCGTGTTCTTCCGATCATTGCAAATTATAATTAATTTTTAAATTCCATTCCGTTCGTGTACTTTAGTGAAATGATTTAAAATCTTCGATCATTAAATAGATTTTACTATTAGAGTTTGAGAACTAAAAAATGACTAATTTTTTATAGGGTGGTTTAAAGACTGCGCGAAAGATGGCTAAAAAGACAACACCGGCGGCATTACAAACTGAAATTTCTAATAACGAGGAATGGGAGAAGCTTCTTACAAAACCAGGGTTAATAGGAATGTATAAGTTACCTATTTAAAACTGAGCTTGAATAGAAATTTAAAAAATGTTAGTGTAAAGTTTTTAATAATTTTGCAGTAGTCGACATATATTCAGAATGGAGTGGACCCTGCACAGGAATGGTAAGCACCCTTAAAAAAATCAAAATGGAAATTGGAGGAGATACGTTGAGTTACGCCATGGTAATTTTATAATTGTAAATAATTATAGATGTTAAGTAAATAATTACTGTGTATTACTATAAATATAGGCAATGTGCGATTATATCACGAACTTAGAACGTTTTCAAGGGAAAAGTGAACCAACATGGATGTTTATACACGTAAGTTTAATATACAGGGTGGTTGGTAACTGATGGTACAAGCGGAAAGGGAATGATTCTACGCGAAAAAAGAAGTCGAAAATATAGAATAAAATTTTTTTAATTTTTCCATCAAGACAACGATCTACAGTGAGATCTGTTATAACGAGATGTGATAAAGTACACGCGTACCGAGCGAAAATTCAAAGTCGATTTTCTCGAAAACAAAGCCTCAAACGAAAAATTTTCATTCTATATTTTCGACTTCTTTTTTCGCGTAGAATCACCCCCTTTCCGCTTATGCCATCAGTTACCAACCACCCTGTATAATTAAGATAAATTTTAAAGCTACAATAAATGCAATCCTACTAGAATGGTCGGATGGTAAATCTTATATTTGGTGCTGACTGCCCACAATTATTAAAAGTATTAACAATGGAATTACAACGAGTACAAAATAACGAGGAACACGAGTATGTAAAATACATAATTTTTAGTAAAACAAGTAGCCATTAAAAATTAGCATTGTTGAAATAGAAGTTATTAAAATAAACGTACACGTGTAGGTTTTCTTTAGATGTATCGGAAAGAAGTCCAGAAGAAATAAAACGATTAAAAATTATTGAAGAAACTAGAATAGCTAAAGAAACGGCAAAGAAGGCTCGAAAAGGTTTCGCAAGATCTCTTATAAAAAAGATACAGATATATTACTATAACGATTACCCTGCACGCACATACAAACAGATCATTATTTCTTTATTTATTTTCAATTTTATATAAAGAAAAACCTCTATTGTCCTGGAGTCACATAATGCACGCTTTATTTTTTAATTGGTTATTAGATATATATAAATGTAACGCTACAATGAAATGTCTAATTTTCATTATTTGTAATAATAAATTTTCGTGTAATTTCTATTTAATATAGAAGCGGAAGCTATAGCACGGTATGAAGCCGAAATGTTGTATCTGACTACTTCACTAAGCAAAGAAACTTGCCTTTTACTTTTTCCGTGGGTTTTTAAGGATGAAGAATGTCATAAAAGAGATAAAAGATCTAGCCCTCCGTACATAGAATTGGTTGAAGAAATACTAATAGGAAATTACACCGTCGAACAAGAAATACGAAAACGACTCGATGAAGATATTCTATCTACGATGTTTAATGAAGTAATATATTTAATATGTCACTAACAAAAATTATTCAAAAGCAGACTTTCCAAATTAAACAATTTTACAGTCTCATTACGTATTATCACCAAATGCTAAACAACTACTTCTAGATGGGAAATGTATGTTTATGCGATTAAAAGTTAGCGAAACAAAGCCAGAAATTGATATTCATAAATACTTGTTAAATCTTTTATTTGGAGAACCGAAATTACCCAATACGGAAACAATTCTTAATGAAGAATGGTACGTAAATACATAGAACATATAATATTTAAAATTATATGTCTTTCATAATACAATTTGTGGTAAGACAATTCTAAAATTAACTTTCACATTAATCTAAATTTAAGCAACTTCCTTCTTTCCTTTAGTTACGCTGGTCGACATCGCCCTGCGTATATAACAAGCGGAAATGAAATTTTTCCAATCGTATGGACACCACCAAATTGTCGAAATAAGGCAATTGTTTTTCGCACTATTTTTCCAACATATACCAATACTACATATCACGTAAGTTTTAAATTTTAATATATCTAATATAAATATTATGTCACATATTATAATTTTAAAGTATGAAGATAAAACTACAAAGGTACCTATAGTAGTATTCAAATATGACTACATGAGAAAGAATGAGCTAAAAATGGTTTTACAAGAATTTGAAGACGAAGTAGTTAACTTTGGCATTTTTGAATCTGATAAGCCATTAGAAGCAAAACTTATAGCAAAGAATATTACGGAATTTGAATTGAATACAAGAGAAAGAACAGGGTAAGTATTAAGAAAAATTTGAAATTTATAATTAAAAATAAAAATGTAATGTCAATTTTCAGATACGAGATATTTGTATGTGTTGTAAAAAAAGTAGAATGTGAAGCGTTTTTAGGATTTGCAGGTATTGGACCTTATCATGTAAGTGAAAATCTGGAAAAGGGCATAGAGGAATCAAAACAATACTTCCCAGATGTTACTGCTTCCGAAGAAACACAATCAGACGACGAAGAAAAACCGGAAGAGTTAATAGAAAATGCGGAAGAAAACAAGAATGAAACATGAAATATTACTTACAGGTGTATCTAAATTTGCATCTTATTTGAAATTATAATTTCAATTGTACGCTTCATAAAAAGTGAAGGAATTAATAATGTATAAAAATATTGTTATGAAGCCAACATTTATTTTCCAGCCACCTAAACTTGCTATATGAAAGAATATAGAAATAGACAAACTGTCTAAATATTGCAAGTCAATGTAAGGATATGGTACAATAAATGATGGCAAATAAACAAAATTTATTTTTTATAACCACAGCTACGCCTACGTCCCCTTGCTCTTTCAAACTTTCGACCCTTTGAGCGTACTAATGGTTTTGTATGAGAGTGTGGTACACCAGGTGCAGGTCCAAAGTGTTTCACTGCTTCACGAGCTTTACGACGACCTTGCATTAAAACTGTTCGTTCTCCAATAGGTGTACGTAATGCCAATTGATCAAAAGTGATCAATTCGCCTCCAGCTTTTAATATACGTGCTCTGGCTCTTTCAGTAACACGTAGAGCACAAACCTATAAAAAATTATGAAATTATACATTAATAATTTTTTCAAGCAAATACAAAATAGCATTTTATTTATACAAACTCAAAATTAAATTCTGATAATTGTTTCTATTGCTTACTGTAAGTTTAGGAATTTCAAAAATTCTAGCATCATCTGTCACTGTACCAACAATTACTGCAATAGCATTTTCTCGTCCAGGTTTCTTCATAAACCTGACAACACGTGCAAGAGATATGGGAGGACGGTGTATTTTACTCATAAAAAGTCTCTTAAGAACAATTTTATTAAACTTAGAATTTGTACGTCTTGCCAGGAAACGGTAAAGCTATAACAAAAATAAAACCATATACTTCTATATTTTTATTGTATAAAAAGATACTTTGATAAAAAAACACAATGTTTTATCAGTTTCATTACGAAATTACAAAAAAAAAACAATACAAACTTTGCATTAAAACGCAACAAACTTTCTGAGTAACATTGTGTCAGCTAATATAATCGTCTTTTATATAAAGAAAAAAGACGGAATAGGAAAGTTGACTAAATTTTTCTAGCGAACGTTCAAATTGGATCAGACTATAATAGTACTGACACAGAGTGCGGTTCGCAAAAGAAATTTATCTGTTTCAAAACTCACGTGTTTATGACAACAATATAGTATTAGATCAGTTGTAATACACAATTAATTTTCAACAGATGTTACAAGAGTGACGTTAGTTTGTAAATAAAATATAGAATACAAATGGTACAAAATTAAAGGTAATAAAAAATATATATATTTAGAAATGCATATAAAACACTTACTTTGACGAGAAGTCGTAAGTAGACATCTTGCGACTTAGGTTCTGTGCGCCGAACCTTCCGATCGTGTTTATGGTTTATATCGATACCCTGTAAAGAAAATAATTTCTGTTAACTTTCTTTAACATTTTTCAAATTTAACAAAGAACTTTATTTATATCGATTAACACAGATAAATCAAAACTCTATTGATTTTATAAATATAACAATGCCACTGCACCACCCTACCATTTCGATACACCGGAAAAGAAACGGAAGAGCTTATAGACAAATCAGATAGAGACCCGTGTAAACGGATGTCCAAGGGGGCGCTGTTAGAGAATGGAAAATTGGCACGATGAATACTAACTACGTAAAAACTATGGAGTGAACAACTTAATGTATAAATTTATATTAATTTTTCATCCAAATAAAAGTGGAAATAAACTTAACACTAAACAAATTTATTCATTCTTTACATAAATCTAGGTTAGTAATTTTGATGCGTATATAAATGTATCAGAACTAAATCAGAATTGCCAAGATAAAGAAAAAAAATTATTTAATATAAATTTTAGAAATTACTATATACAATCGTTAAAAAATATATATATAACTTTTTTTAACACATAAATTTTTACATGAAGAAATAAAACAATCATTTTTTAAATATTTAATTTAAGTTATGTACAATATTCAGTAATGTGCTTAGTATATTATACATACATATGTTTGGATACGGTTTAAATTAATGTAAATTAGATTCCTATTTTTCTTAATCTATTTTTTGAAGAAATTAATTTATAATTTTCACTCGATATTATTTATGTAGAAATAAATTAATTTCTAGAAGGAAATGTATGTTTCATTTGGTAAAAGCAGTGAATAAGATAGAAACAAGTTCTATACATTTTCAATTTGATTAACTATAAATACATTTATATATATGCACAACTAGAACAATTTTTTTACATATATACAATATATGTATTCAATATATGTCGGAGAAGAAAATAAACTGAAATTAAAACTGAAATATTTACTTAGTATTATCAAAGAAAAATATGATTATATTGCACGTGTAGAATAACAAAAATGGAGAAAATATGTATATAAAAACAGTCTTAATTCTACAGATTAGATAAATCTATAATTTATGAAGACAATTTATAATGAAAACGAACTATTTTTTGAAGCTTTACTCAAAAATCATAAGTATAGTTTGTAGAACCCATATAGTAAAGTCATAAATTAAAATACTAAATGTCAACAATCGATTGATATAGCCCTACTCAGAGCCGGTATTTGGAAATTTTATGTAATATATATATATATTGATTGAATATATATATATTCTGTAAAGAATACCAGGTTATGTATATCTAAAATGAATTATTATATAAACTTTTTTTAAATATACTACAAAACAAGAAACAATTCTTACATTGTACGGTCCTGAACAGGGCCCTGGTTCCTTATCTACCCCAATAGGTTTTAAATTCCTGTTTTGATTGTCGGAACATGTAAATTTAACGTTTAGTAGAGTTTGCGATTATTTTTATGATTTCGTCAACTCGTTTTTACCAACTGTACAAAATCTCACCGTCATACTAAATATACATATGTAGTTTCCTTGCACAAGAAACATGTTGGTGAATTGCAATTTACCAACACAAGGTAGCGCTGAGGTGCTCCATCAATCGGTCCGTCAAGTCTCAAGTTTCACATAAACAGTATATGCCGTGACTTCGGTGTGTTCGAAGCAGTTTGATGTTCGAATCCGCGCAAGTACAGAAGAAGCCGAGATAATGGTGAGATAATTTTTTTTAATCGAAATACAGAGTAGTACATTCCTTTGATTAATCGTACATGGTTCGGAAAAAACCTTGACTATGTTTTGTGGTCGCGATTTAAATACCGTCCTCCCGTAAAATGGATTCTTTAATAAGAGATAATGTTATGAGTGTATTACTCGGGAAACTGCACGTGCGTCATTAAATTCGCAACACAACAGTTCAAGTAATTAGATGATGAAAAAATGTCTGAGAGAATGAAAGAATCTAACAAGAGAAATTAACTCGTTAAGTGAATTGGGAACTCTTTCTTAAATGGAATGGTACAAAGCAACAATTCTTTACCGTGGCAATAAAGGAAACTTTATCAAGATAGGAAAGAGATGTCTGTTTATCATGTGCCTTAATTACCACAATAATGATCTTCTTATGGTATGATTATCAATGTGATTGGCGTATCTTACTGAATGACAGACAATCATCAGTGTGTCATGGAGGACGGTGGTCAAGTGCATTCTAACACTCTTCTTGAGGAAACATTTTATGTTACGTCGAAGAAAAACACTTACTACAAGGTGAGACTAACAGAAAAGGGTCTCAGCTTAGAGAAAGACAATAATGGTGCGACGAAGGTTGAAACGATCGTTCTAAACGACATAATAGGGTGCAGATGTATGCGTTCGAAACGCAAAAGCGCGGGAAGCTGTGTTTGTGGACCAGGTACCTCGAGATCTCAATTTAAGCTGGTCGAGTCTGTGGAAGCATATCAATCCTACGACGAGTTTGACACTTCGGCCTATCTTTATATTTATGCGTACACACTGAAGAAGGCACGTATGAAAGGTATCAAGAGACGAGAAAGGACCACGATCACGCTACGATTCCGCAGCTTTGACAAATACGAAGATAATCTACGAGAGGCCAGCAGGTGGCGATTAGCTATAAAATGTCTCATTGTTGGCTTGCCTGTGCCTAAAAGTTTTATGAGCCCCAGTCACGAGAATCTGGAATCGTTGATTAGCGGTGAGTTCAATCTCTATTTCGTTTTCTTTTTCTTCTTCATCGTATCAAGACATTCACATAGCGATAATTCGATAAATTATGTTTCTTTTCCCACCCTTCTAACGAAGACGTTTAAGGTAGGATCATGTTAGGTAATCAATGCTAGAAATTACGAAATAATAAAACGCGAAGAAGCTTCATTAAAATTCCTTCTACATATTTACGCTAATGAACTTACATATTATGGATGAATCTAGGTATTAATGATTGAATGTTAATTTCAATAACATGATTGTATCTTATTGAAACGAGAATAGTTAATAAATCGGGAATGGCATTGTAACATGGGATGAAAGGTAATTTAATATAAAATATTGTTTATTAATGGTAACTAATATTTGTAAATATAATCAACTATTTCGCAAATATGGTTTCAATTATAGTAGGTACATTGTTATATATGTAGTCATCTCAAATGCTTTCTATTATGTGAAATGCTTTCTATTATAATATCTAATATATGCAGGCCAAACGCCAATGTTTCTTTTCTTGAGTAGGTCTAGATTCTAGATAATGTGTATTAAGAATAACTGTACTTTCATTTGCAGCAAATGCTTTTTCTTCTGCACATCATTTTTAACATTTATTTTTTTCCTTTTTAAATACATTATTGCTTATTGTTTATAGAAATATATTCGTTTGAATAATGATAGTTAAATTTTTTAATAATCGATTACGTAGAATCCTACTTAATGTTCCAGCAAGGCAACATCGAAACGGAGGAAGTTGTATGTGTCGTTATATGAGTACATTTTTACAATGATTAATATATTTGAAATTCAACAAATATGATTGCATGAATAAAAGAATCCCAGATACGGAGTTAGATTATGCGCACGTCATTCTGCGCACTATCTCCTTAATTATATCTAAAGGAA